TGTCTGGGGAAAGAGCTCTGGAAAGAAGGGTGGCCGTATCACTGTTTTAGCACAGTCAGAAGTCATCACCAGCTCTCAGTCCTTTAGTCAGAGAACTTGGGTGTACTTCCTTAAATCACAGCTTCCTCACTCATGAAATAAGTCATCCAGTACTAACAGTGCAGAGTTGTGGGGATTAGATGACATCACTGTCCATGGCAGAGAACCAAAAGTGCTTGGGAATGTAGTTCCCAAAGTTTGCCCCTCCCCTCTGCCTGTGGTCTCACTCTCACTCATTACTTCCTTGTCTCAATCTGTTCTCTCTCATTCTCTTAACAGCATCCCTTGGGAGCAGCTCTACAACAAATTCCTTGAACACAAATCCTGGTCTCAGGTCTGCTTCAGGAAGACAGTTTTCTAGGGCAGCTGGACAGAGGATTTTATGGATGTCCTACAGCAAATAACTTTGAAAATCCCCATAGGCATCTGGGCTCTGCTGTTTGGGATGTGTGTTCTTTTTCTTCCCTGCTGGAAAGCCTGGCGTTAGTGGCTCACCCTCCTATTCCATCCTCTCCTCGATTTCAGATTCTCAGCCTTGATTTGACAGGACATTTCTGCATCATCAATCATTCAAATTTCCTGATCAAGTTCTGTCTTTGCAACTAACAGAACTCAAGACCTTGGGCCTGCTTCTCCCGAAGCAGGTCAGGGGGCCCCTTGTCATAAAAATGTGATGGGGGGTCTTTCCTTTTACTCTCAGTGACTGTGCACATCACACACTATCCTCCCTGAGCAGAATTATCCTTACAGACTAATCTTTTACCCTCCCACCTTACATAACTATAGTCTGTACCCATCTACCTTATCTCGGTCTGTCCATCTACAGAGGGTAGCATAAGTCGGTTGTAGTGGCACACACCCTTAATACCAGCACTCTGGAAGGCAGAAGCAGGCAGATCTCTGTGAGTTTGAGGCCATCCAGGTTTACAAAGTGAGTCCAGGATAGCCAAGGCTACACAAAGAAACCCTGTCTCAGAAAACCAAAAGGAAAAAAAAAGAAAGAAGATAGCATAAATATTTTCTTGTTTGTTTGTGACAACCGTTTTTCTAAAAACATTCAATGTCTCCACACTTAGAAAATCCAAGTGGGGCATTGGGGTGATCTGAAAATCAATATTTTGTGTGTGGGAGAAGACTTCACCACCAGGAGAGTAGAGTGAGTAGGAGGCAATGTGGAGGCCCCAAAGTTCTTTTGTCCCCAGATACTGTAACTCATGAGTAACCTCCCTCACACCCCAGACCTGTTTGCCCCAGAAGTTCTGTTCGAGGCAGCTTGAGCTATACCTACCACAGCATGTTTCTGAACCCCTTCATGGGAAGCCACTAATGAGCATTTTCCTACACAAAGCCTCCGATAGATATTACCGCTGGTAATTTATTACGCTCCTCCTGCAGGGAGCACACAGTTCTTGCTAGCAATGGACTAATTAAAAACTTCCCTGCCATGTACAACCTCAATTGTGTTACGGGGGGAGGGGGGATGAACAATACCTCAGTGCTAATTTTTCAGAAGAAAAGGGATTATAATGATTTCTAAAAATAAAACAAAGAGAAGTTGTGGAAGCCTGATTTACGTTGCTTAAGGAGACAACAGTGGGTGCTGGGTGGACTGTGGTGAGTAATGAGAGCACTTGGTGTTTGTAGAGAATAGATTGAACTTCTCACTTTCATCTCTGACATGATATGGTTCAACTGGCACAAAGGTCAGGATTGATATTCCTGGTTGTAAAGAAGAACCAAGTTGAAAGGTGATTTCATCCTTATTTATATAAACTTATATAACCCCAACAGCCCGAGATTTTTCTAGGCTCTAGTTTTTTTTTTAATAGATAGGTTTTTGTTTTAATAGATTGTTATTTATCATGTGAGCCACTAACATTCTCCCGACTATGATCCAGGGTAGACTGGAGTCTCTGAAATTTTACACTATCTGATGCTGCTCACCTTGGCTTGACCTCTGGACTTAAAGGCTGGTTTGGGGCTAGTGAGATGAGGAGCAGCATTTGTTGGCAAGCCTGATGACCTGAATTTGTTCCCTGGGCCCCATGTGGTAGAAGAACAGAAATGTCACCTGTCCTTTGACCTCCTCATATGTGCCATGGTAGATACATACACCACATAAAAAGTAATTTATCAGCTGGATGATTCGGGAATGATTTCAGGTGATGGGAGCAAAGGCAAGCATTTGCAGTAAAAGGAAGTTGCTTTTTATTTTTGCTAAAGATAGATGAACCTAAAAGAGTCAGTGCCCAGGAGAGAAAAAAGAGCTCAGAGACTGTACTCCACCAGCATGAGAGGAGCTTGGAGTGCTGGAAAGAGGTGATATTTACATTTTAGAAAGATCACACATGTGGACACTACAGTATAGGTAGACCTATGGGTGGACCGACAATGGGAGGACAGCTCTAGTCAGAGGGGCCAGATGAAGCTGGGTGGTTGCTGGTGAATGACAGCAACCACCCAGCAGAGAGCTCTGCAATGCTTAGCCAGCGGGGATTTGTTGTGTGAAGTGAAGGGAATGAACAGCAAGGCTTCCGGTAGGCAGTTTGTGTGTGTGTGTGTGTGTGTGTGTGTGTGTGTGTGTGTGTGTGTGTGTGTAGGGCCATGGGTTTAGGTTGGAAGTGTTGTTAATTGGCTTCCAGGCAGTCTTCTGGAGATGGCTCCTTAGTATTTGGATATACAGATCTGAAACAGCACTGACAAGGTAGAAAGACTGCCAGAGCCAGCCAGCAGAATCAAACAGTTCTTGAGTCGGGAGTGAGGATTAATATTAATAAAATAAACACACAGCACACAGGAAACTTTTTAAAGGTCCAGACTCAATAGCCACAGCAAAAAGCAGGCTGCTGCAGCAAGCAGTGCCAGCAGCAAGTCTCAAGTCTCTGCCTGCCTCCTCTGTCGCCAGCCTTTTGACCACTTTATTTTTTGAGGAGTTACTTTTAGCCAGTAAAACATCTCAGAACAATAGGTTAATTTCCACGAGGAGTCTGAGGAAGAAGTATGACCCTCACAAGCTATCCCACCTGCTGTCACAAACAAAAGGCGATTGGCTTGCAAGTTCTCTGCCATTAGTAAAGGCCTGCTAAAAGCCATCTCTCCACCGAGATTTAAATATCAAAGCCGGTCGCTTGGAGTCACAGCTCTGACAAAAGACAGTGTAGCCATCAAATGTTAATTAACACAAAATGGTGTGTGCTACAAGATGCACACAAGGAACAGTGTGGGGTGACCTTGATGTCACTGACCTCAGATGTGTTGCCTTTATTCATCTTTATAAATTTTTGGCAAGTGATGTAATAGAAAGCAAATCTATCTACAAATTAGGCATCTGCCCTAAGCAATGGTGCTCAGGTGTTTCTGAAAGCGTGATGGTAAATATTCACATCCTTCAGCTTAATAACAAGCAACACAAGAAGTGGGACGGCCCCTGCTTTACTCTGCATTCCAGCGATTAGAAAGTATTGCTGACCAGGAGCTACAGCAGAAGGTTAGGAGAAAACAGTGGGGTGCACTCTAACCATAGCAACAAGGTTGGAGACAGCTCCATCCACAGAGCTCCAAGGCTCATAGGAATGTTTGTTCCCATGAGCCCTTGCAACCAAGCACCAGCACAGTGTTGCTTAATTCTGAATAATAGACTGAATGCTTTTGGTGCTCACAAAAAAGGGTGTTGATGCCAGTAAAGGACACATTTATTTCTTTATAAGGACAAGGCACAGACTCTCAGGACTTTTTGACAAATTCCTCTTTTCCACATCTTTATTATACACTGGTATACAATTTTCCAAAGCCTCTGGTGTCCCACAGAATGTATGTGGGTTTTGTTTTGTTGTTGTTGTTGTTGGTTTTGTTTTGTTTTGAGCTATGGCTTAGAATTTATGCCAGTTCCTTCTAATATGAAGTAGAAGCCATTTTTGCTTGGAGCTACTTGATGGTGTGGAAACATGCTCAGTGAGCTCACTCCAGTCACTGTCAGGATAAAGGTGTGGTGAGACCCCATGATGGCACTGCCAGGTAAGCTGGAGCCTCCTAGCTGCAGTGAGCTCACACCCCACACTCAGGCATTTCTCCTTTGACATGATTTTATGAATAGAGGCTGGCAATGCCTAAGGTCATTCACAATAGGGCTCTGATTCTCCACAGAAACGATCCTAGACAGCTGACTTCTGACAAGTTTCTGATGAGCAGATGCCATAACGAAGCCATGCTTTGTGGCTTTGTGAAACTGCTCTTTCCAGACAGTGCTAAGGTGATGATACGAAACCAGTTCTGTCTTAACCTCTGGTCCTCTGTTTCCCAGGGGATACTCAGACACACAGTGGTGTGGGCCATTCTATCAGATGGGCTGTGTGTGAATTTCTCAGCACCTCCTGTCACTCTAACCCATGGAGGAGGGACTATAAACTCAGCTTTTGTTAGGAGTCATTTAGGGCTCATTTAGTACACCCCTTAGGCCGCCACTTCTTAAGCTATTGACTATTTGTTTAGACAAAAGTACTCTGTTGTTAATAAAGTATAGAAGTTTGTTAAAGATTTCCATCTTACTTTGTCAATTAAAACTTGTCTTCTAATAGAAACAGAAGGAACATTACCTGTTGGGAACAAAGCCCTGGGACCCCCCCTAAGGGCCTGACCTGCCGGATAAGCACCAGACGTCAGCAGGCCATAGTTTCTTAAGACCCATTGTTCCCGAAACTGTTTGCTTTGGGACACATCCGTGACCACCGATGTTATCTTTGGGCCTTGTAACTCTTTAACCCACCTTGTTAGCCTTGGGGACTTCCCACCAAGGGCCCTGGTATTTTTCCACTACTACTTCCCTTTTCTCGCCCCTCTCCCCCGCCCTGCCAGAACCGTGTTTTAAAAGAAACACCAAAGTTCAATAAAGCTGACACTTGACCAGCAACCGTCTGCTTGTGTCCTTTCTCTCTCTTGCCCATCTTTTTCAGGATTGACCCCCTTCGCCCCATGAATAACTAAGTCCCGAGGGACAGGACAGAGTGGCGCCCAACGTGGGGCTCGAAGTACGGGTCTCTCTGGACGGACCCTGAAGCGAAGACCTCGGCCAAGGCAAGACTAGAGGCTCCCGTTTCATCACCCGTGGGACGACAAGAGTCTGGTAAGTAAATGCTTTACATTTCCGTCTAATTCAAGATGGGGCAATCTGTGTCTAAGGAGGCATCATTCGTTAAAGAGTTAAAGACTTCCCTCAGAGAGAGAGGAATTCGGGTTAAGAAAAAAGACTTGGTAAATTTCTTTCTTTTCATTGATAAAGTATGTCCCTGGTTTATGATAGATGGTCCTACTATTCATCCTAAAAAATGGCAAAAGGTTGGTAGAGAACTCAACCAAAAACTTGCTGCCGAAGGAAATGATGCCCTGAGTCCCACAGTCTTCTCGTTCTGGGGATTAATTAGAGATATTGTTGAGGATGCAGACAATGATACTGACAAACGCCAGCTCCTTTCGGTTGCTGAATTTTGTCTCGCTTCCTCTGCTCAAAATTCGCCAGTAACTTCTCAGCCTCCCTCTCGGCCTCCTTCTCGTCCCCCCTCTCGTGCCTCTGCGGCACTTTCCCTAATTGATGCTTCTGTTTCCAGTCCCTCTAATCTTCCTCAACTTTACCCTCCCCTGCCCTCTGTGGATGTTTCTGAGCCTCCTCCCTATGACAGATCTCCTCCTCTAATTAACCCTGTCCTCAAGAAGCCTAGGCCTAAGACCTCTCCGTTACCCCCTCAGCCTCTTCCCTCTCAAAATCCTGACCCCTTGATCCTGGAGACGCCGCAACTCTCGAGGATGAGGCCGCCCATTATGATGACGATCCCCCGCTCGCCTCTGCTCCCCCTGCACCTTTCCCCGCTACTGTTCCTCTTACTCTGCCAACCTTCCCAACCATTCCTTCGACTTCCCTTTTGGAAATTCGTTCTCGTCTCTCCGCCCAGGTCAGGGACCTTACAGAAATCCACCATCTTCAACAGCAACTCTCCTGTCTCACAACTCACTGTTCAGCCTTTACAAACCCTTTCCCTTCTATACCTCCAATTCAGCCTCCTCCTGAACCTTCTCCGGTCAACCCTCCGATCAACCCTCCTTCGACTCAAACCCCTCTTCGGCTTGCTTTCCCTGTAACCACCCGCTCTCAGACTCGTCAGGATCAATCATCAGCTGCTTCTGCTCCCGCTTCCTCTTCAGCCGATGCTGAGGCTGAGGGCTCCTCTGGCGAAAGTGAAACTGATAATGATGACAATGACGCCCAGGCTGAAGAGCCCGCGACTAATTGCGGTCCCCTCATGAACGAGCCCGGTGATTATCGCCGGCTCCGCTTCAAAAAGCTAGAAAAACTTAATTCAGCTGTCAGGACTTATGGGCCAAACGCTCCTTTTACCATTTCCCTCTTGGAAAGTATGGCGGAGGGAGGCTTCCTAACTCCTGGGGAGTGGCTAACGGTGGTTCAATCAGTTTTGACTAGGGGTCAATTCCTTGCATGGCAGGCTGACTGGTACGATCGTTGCCGCACCTTGGCTAATAATAATCTAAAAAAGAACAACAGACCCTCTTCCAATTGGACCTTTAATAAATTAACGGGCCAAGGAAAATACGCCTCAGAACAAGTACAACAGGGCTTTCCCTTGGGGCTCCTGGCCCAAGCTCATGGCGCTGCATTGGCAGCTTGGCGTGCTATGCCTACAAAAGGATCAGTAATCTCTCCTTTAACAAAAATAATTCAAGGAAACAATGAGGATTACTCTGAGTTTGTTGGTCGCCTCTTAGAGGCAGCTGAGAGATCATTAGGACCCAATGAAAAAGAAAACAAGCTTCTTAAACAATTGGCCTTTGAAAACGCAAATTCTGCCTGTAAGGCCGCCCTCCGAGGCAAACATAAGGATAAAGACCTTTCCGACATGATCCGCTTGTGCCAAGATGTAGATACCTTCCCATATAAAATGGCACAAGCCATCAATCTGGTCATGGGAGCACCTGCCCAGCCTGGCAGCTCAAAATTTTCCTGCTTTAAGTGTGGACAAACAGGCCATTTTGCACGTCAGTGCCCACAACAAGAGGCCTCAGGCTCGCGTCCGCCAGGCCAGCCCCAAACCTTAAACCAGACAGGGGCTGCCCGGCCATTGCCTACGACGGTCTGCCCTCGCTGCCATTGAGGTAAACATTGGGCTAATACTTGCCGCTCCCAAACCGATATCTCAGGCAGCCCTCTGCCTCCCAGGTCGGGAAACATGCTAAGGGGTCAGCCCCGGACCCCTCAACCGATCAATTTCTTGCCGGCCTCGGGGGTAAGCCAGCCATGTCACGATCAGACTCCAACACAGTCAGTGCCAGGTCAACTGCCTGCCTTCGCAGGGCCACCCCCGGGAGTGCAGGATTGGACCTCTGTGCCTCCGCCGACTCAATTCTAACTCCTGAAGATGGAGTCCAAATTATCCCTACAGGGATCTTTGGACTGCCCCCACCCCCGACTTATTATTTAATTCTAGGCAGAGCCTCCAGTACATTAAAGGGTATTACTATTTTCCCTTCCTTAATTGACAATGATTATACTGGAGAAATAAAAATCTTGGCCAGTAGTGCGCGGGGTCCCCTCCCAATTATCAAGGGACAGTGCTTAGCCCAGGCCCTCCCCCTACCTCTAAATTCGGCTGCTCCCTCCCTAGACCCTTCTCGAGGAGCCTCCGTCCCTGGGTCATCCGATATATTCTGGGTCCAACAGATGACTCAAGAGCGACCCACCCTAAAACTTAAACTTAATGGAAAAACTTTTGAGGGCCTTTTAGATACAGGGGCAGACTCCACGGTAATCTCACAAAAGGCTTGGCTCTCTAGTTGGCCCTCACAACCAACCTTGACTCAACTTCAGGGCATAGGTCAGTCCCTTAACACCCTCCAGAGCTCCCACCTACTGACTTGGGAAGATTCTGAAGGTAACACTGGACATGTGCGGCCATTTATAGTTCCCGGGCTCCCTGTTAATCTTTGGGGAAGAGATATCCTCTCCCAAATGGGGGTCCTTATGTTTAGCCCCTCAGAAGCAGTCACTCAACAAATGCTTAAACAAGGATTTATACCAGGAAAAGGCCTGGGAAAAAATAATCAGGGAATGCCTGATCCCATCTCGGTCGCCCCAAATTTTACACGAACAGGCCTTGGTTATGAATCACATTTTTCCTAAGGGCCATTGCTCCCCCTGCACTCCAGGCAGATAAAATCACATGGAAAAGTGATTCCCCTGTCTGGGTTGATCAATGGCCCCTTCCTCAGCACAAATTAGCAGCAGCCAAGCAGCTGGTGCAGGAACAGCTTTTGGCTGGACACACCGAGCCTTCTACTTCCCCGTGGAACACTCCCATATTTGTTATACAAAAAAAGGGGGAAAATGGAGGCTCCTCCAAGATCTCAGAGAAATCAACAAAACCATGGTGCCGATGGGGGCGCTTCAACCAGGACTTCCCTCGCCAGTAGCCATTCCACTAGGTTATACAAAATTGGTTATTGATTTAAAAGATTGTTTTTTCTGTATTCCCCTTCACCCCGAGGATTGCAAACGCTTTGCCTTTAGTGTTCCTATTGTTAATTGCATTGGCCCGTCACCCCACTTTCAATGGAGGGTCTTGCCCCAGGGAATGGCCAATAGCCCCACCCTCTGCCAAAAGTATGTTGCTCAGGCTATCGATCCCCTTAGGATAAAGTATCCTGACACATATTTCATTCACTATATGGATGATATTTTATTGGCAGGGCCAGACGCTACTAAATTACAGATCATTGGGCAAGAGTTAATCCTTTCACTCCGACAGCTGGGGCTTCAAATAGCCCCTGAAAAAGTTCAAACTCACCCCCCTTATTTCTTTCTCAGCTTTGAGCTTTTACCCAACCATGTCCTGTCCCAAAAGATTCAACTTAGACGGGACTCGCTGGCAACCTTAAACGATTTCCAAAAATTGTTGGGAGATATAAATTGGCTTAGGCCCTACTTAAAACTTACTACCGGGGAGCTGAAACCCCTTTTCGATATTTTGTGGGGAAACCCTGACCCGGCTTCTGCTCGCCAGCTTACACCTGAAGCCATCAAGTCCTTGGGCATACTGGAAAAGGCCATACAAAATCAAAATGTTGGATATTATTCACCAAAAATGTCACTTTGGCTATTAATCCTCCCCATGACTTTTGTGCCTACTGGACTCTTATGGCAAACTAAACCCTTGTTTTGGATTCATCTTCCAACATCTCCCTCTAAAATTCTTTCTACTTATCCCTCGTTGGTTGCCCAAATTTTTAGACAAGGCAGAGAAACATCCCTTAAACTTTTTGGAAAAGACCCGGATGTTGTCTGCACACTGTATAATTCCTCCCAAATACAGTGGCTGATTCAGACCTCTGATGATTGGGCTGTCAATAGCACTTCCTTTCAGGGGAGGCTTGATAACCATTACCCTGCTGATAAACTTATTCAGTTCTTACATAGGCAATCTGTCTTTTTTCCAACTCGGACCAAGTTTTCTCCCATCCCCGCAGCCACGTTGGTTTTCACCGATGGCTCCTCCTCAGGAATTGCTGCCTTTAGTATTCAAGGACAGGTGTTTCAGTCACAGACAGGTTTTTCGTCTGCCCAATTGGTAGAATTAGTTGCTGTTGTAAAAGTTTTTGAGATCCTTACAGATCGGGCCTTTAATCTCTACACTGATAGTGCTTATGTTGCTGCATCTGTTCCACTTCTAGAGACTGTCCCATGTGTTAAGCCCTCCACAAATGCTTCCCCCCTCTTTTCAAAGTTACAATCCCTCATTTTAAAACGCTTGCATCCTTTTTTTATTGGACATATACGGGCCCACTCTGGGCTCCCCGGACCCCTGAGTGAGGGCAATAACCAAGTGGATCAAGCTACTCAGCCTAAACTAACCCTCTTCGCGACATTGCCTAAGCAACCCGACCCTCTGTTGCAAGCCCAGGAGGCCCACCGCCTGCATCATCTTAATGCTCAGACCCTCCGACAAATGTTTTCCATTACGAGAGATCAGGCGCGACAAATTGTACACCAATGCAAAAATTGCTTGGTGTTCCTGCCTGAGCCTCACTTAGGAGTCAACCCCCGAGGCCTTACGCCGGGAGAACTTTGGCAGATGGATGTTACTCATTATTCTCCTTTTGGAAAATTAAAATACATCCATGTATCTATAGATACCTTTAGTGGGTTTATTTTTGCCTCCCTCCAGACTGGAGAGGCTACTAAACATGTTATAAACCACATTTTGGCCTGTTCCGCCCTTACTCCCCTACCAAAGGTTATAAAAACAGACAATGGCCCTGGATATACCAGCAATGGCTTTAAGCAATTCTGTGCCCAGTTAAAAATCAAACATCTTACTGGTATACCTTATAACCCACAAGGCCAGGGCATAGTAGAAAGGGCACATCAGACCCTTAAAAACATGATCCAAAAGTTACAACACTCTGGAGGTATCCTATATCCTCTAACAGGAAATCATAAAACCCTCTTAAATCATGCCTTGTTTATTTTAAATTTCCTTACCCTTGATAAGCATGGTAAAACTGCAGCTGATAGATTCTGGCACCCTTCAACATCTGACACCTACACGCAGGCTATGTGGAAAGACCCATTGACTTATAAATGTTCTGGTCCCGATCCTGTGTTCATATGGGGTAAAAGACATGCCTGCATATATGACTCCAAGGAGCAGAGTGCCAGGTGGCTTCCCGAGAGGTTAATAAAGTTGGTAAATCCTCCCAGGGAAACCCCTGAGGAAAATTCTAATTGTGCTTAATTACAGAAAATGCTTGGCCCCTTGTTATCTTCGCGCCTCTGCTTGTAGTCCGGCTGGTGGTAAGTGCCCCTTCCCCTTATCAAATTTATAATTATACCTGGATTATTGAAAATCAGGCTGGAAGAATAGTCAACTCCAGCTCTTACACCGGAGCCTCGCCACATTGGCCTAACCTGGAGATTGATCTCTGCGCCCTTGCCCTTGGGGCTCACCCCGATTGGGGAACAGCAGAGGTCCTTTATCGTCTGGGATCACCCGCCCCTCAGTTACAGGCACGCCGTCCTATAGTTCCCGGCTGCCGCAATGATATTGAAAGAGCTGACTTACATGGCCAGTTGGGAATCTATATTTGCCCAGGAAATCATAGAAACAAGGGTCTCAACCATAAATGTGGATGGGCTGACGATTATTTCTGTGCCTCCTGGGGGTGTGAGACCACTGGGGATACCTATTGGCAACCTTCCTCCAGCTGGGATTACATAATTGTTAAAAGAAAAGACCGCTACCCTGGTGCGACCCCCAATCACATCCCGGACCAATTAAAACAACGGTGTAATGCCCATGCAACTACGAAAGGATGGTGCAATCCCCTTGTAATCTCCTTTACAGGAGAGGGCAAAAAACAAGCCTGGACCGGTAGAGGCTATGAGTGGGGTCTTCGGCTGTATATGTCAGAAAAGGATATTGGACTTACTTTTAAGATTAAAATGCTTCAAAATATTCCCAATAGAGCTTCTGCCGCCATAGGTCCCAACCCCGCCCTTCAACCGAGGCCTCCTGTTGCTCCTATTCCGGTTACCCTCGGTCCCACTTTATCATCCCCTTCTGGACCGACTCCTTTCCTGCCTACTCTCCCTAAGGGACACATGAGCTCCACAGATCTTATCCTTTCCTTGGTAAATGCCTCTCTAGAGGCAATCCATAATACTAGTAACCCTGCCTATGATGAATGTTTTTCTCCTACTCCACCATTTTACGAGGGGATAGCCATAATGAGTGGCCCTGTCCCCACCAATGAGACTGATAACTTGCTTTGGCAGGCCCTCCCTGAGGGAGGCCTTACCCTTAGTTCGGTTTCGGGATTCGGCTACTGCCTTGTTGGGCCCAACATGCTCCCCCTGCAACCATTACAATCGGTCTGTAATCAGACAATTGTCAATCAAACATTTTCATATACAAAAGCCCCAAATAATACTTACCTTGCTTGCGCCACAGGACTTACTACCTATATCATTAATAAGGATTTCATAGATAAAAAAGACTACTGTGTTGTTGTTGTGATTCTTCCCCGATTTTTTATTCATGACCCTGAAAGCTTTATGTCCTTCTATGATAATGGCATTCCCATTAAAAAGAGAGAACCCCTAACCGCTATTACCCTAACTGTACTCCTCGGCCTAACTGCTGCAGGAGCGGGAACTGGCATTGCCTCTATGGTCACCTCTCAACAACACTTCTCCCAACTCCAATTGACTATTGATAAAGATTTAAGCGAGCTCCGAGAGGGAGTTCAAAATCTCAAAGATTCTGTGGCTTCCCTTTCTGAAGTAGTTCTTCAAAACCGGCGAGGCCTCGACTTAGTTTTTCTAAAAGAGGGAGGCCTTTGTGCTGCCCTCAAAGAAGAATGCTGTTTTTATTCTGATAAGACTGGATTGGTACAAAACAGCTTAGATAAGGTCAAAAAGAGCCTGGAAGTACGCAAAAAGGCTCGAGAACAACAGGAATCCTGGTATCAAAATTGGTTCGCCACTTCTCTGTGGCTTTCCACCCTCCTTCCCAGTCTTTTGGGCCCCCTCATGGGCCTATTCTTACTTCTCTCTTTTGGCCCCTGGGCCTTTAATCGTCTCACAAACTTTGTTAAGAACCAGGTGAGCTCCGCAATCAAGCCTGTTGGAGTCCACTACCATCGTCTGGCTGGGGAAGAAGAATCTGCCGTGGAGCTTCCACCTGATGCCCCGGCCTCCCACCCCCTTGATTTCTCCACCCTAGTATCTCCTGGCCCGAGATGGAAGTTCTGGGGCTGCTCTTCCAGTTAGACCTGGGCTTTTTTGACTCTCATTAATTGGCGCAATGATTGGCTTATTTTATGTAATTGCTTAAAAACCAAGCGATAAATAGGTCCTATCGGGAAAACAAACACGTTACACTACCACAAAGTGAGTGGTCTGGCAAGTCAGAGACAGAACGAGTGGATAAGTCTCGGCCCGCCTAAGACAGGACGACCTCGCCCAGAGGAGGCCGATCCAATGACAAGTAAGGGTCCAGCACCACTCTTCTAACAGACTCAGACCCCGTTTGTGCCGTTCGTGACAAATAATTTTTCTCACATAATCAAGATGGCTAATATACCTAGGGCCTTGCACTCTGAGGGATTCTTCCCATTGCACCAGAAATGGCCTAGGTCTGCCTACGATTGCCGTGAGACCTGAGTCACCGAACCTTTGTAAACTTAGTGAGTCCCCGGACCTATAAAATTCCCAAACTGTTTATAAAATCGCTGAGAGTCCTAAGAGGCCTCCCCCTCCTCTTTTAAAAGACAAAAAGGGAGGAGATGTTGGGAACAAAGCCCTGGGACCCTTCCTAAGGGCCTGACCTGCCGGATAAGCACCAGACGTCAGCAGGCCATAGTTTCTTAAGACCCATTGTTCCCGAAACTGTTTGCTTTGGGACACATCCGTGACCACCGATGTTATCTTTGGGCCTTGTAACTCTTTAACCCACCTTGTTAGCCTTGGGGACTTCCCACCAAGGGCCCTGGTATTTTTCCACTACTACTTCCCTTTTCTCGCCCCTCTCCCCCGCCCTGCCAGAACCGTGTTTTAAAAGAAACACCAAAGTTCAATAAAGCTGACACTTGACCAGCAACCGTCTGCTTGTGTCCTTTCTCTCTCTTGCCCATCTTTTTCAGGATTGACCCCCTTCGCCCCCACGAATAACTAAGTCCTGCGGGACGGGACAATTACCAAACTCATTCTATGAAGCCACAGTCACCTTGGTACATAAACCTCACAAAGACTCAACAAAGAAAGAGAATTTCAGGCCAATCTCCCTTATGAACATTAATGCAAAAATACTTAACAAAATACTTGCAAACCGAATCCAAGAACACATCAAAGATATTATCCACTATGGCCACGTAGTTTTCATCCCAGGTATGCAGGGGTGGTTCAATATACAGAAATCCATCAATGTGATCCACCATATTAACAAACTGAAAGAAAAAAACCACATGATAATCTCCCTAGATGCTGAAAAAGCATTTGACAAAATCCAACATCCATTCATGTTTAAAGTATTGGAGAGACCTGGGATACAAGGCACATATCTAAACATAGTAAAGGCGATATACAGCAAGCCTATAGCCAACATCAAACTGAACGGAGAGAAACTTAAAGCAATCCCACTGAAATCAGGGACAAAACAAGACTGCCCACTCTCTCCATATCTCTTCAACATGGTGCTGGAAGTCCTTGCTAGAGCAATAAGACAGTTGAAGGAGATCAAGGGGATACAGATGGGAAAGGAAGAAGTCAAATTATCACTATTTGCAGATGATATGATAGTATATATGAGTGACCCCAAAAACTCTACCAGGGAACTCCTACAGCTGATAAACACCTTCAGCAAAGTGGCCAGATACAAAATTAACTCAAAAAAATCAGTAGCACTCCTGTATACAAAAGACAAAAGGGCTGATAAAGAAATTAGAGAAACAACACCCTTCACAATAGCCACAAATGACATAAAGTACCTTGGTGTAACCCTAACCAAGCAAGTAAAAGACATGTATGAAAAAAAATTTCAAGTCTCTGAAGAAAGAATTAGAAGAAGATATCAGAAGATAGAAAGATCTCCCATGCTCATGGCTTGGCAGGATTAACATAGTAAAAATGGCCATCTTACCAAAAACAATCTATAGATTTAATGCAATTCCCATCAAATTGCCAACACAATTCTTTACAGACCTGGAAAGAAAAATTCTCAACTTCGTAAGAAACAACAAGAAACCCAGAATTGCTAAAACAATCCTCTACAATAAAAGATCTTCTGGAGGTATCTCCATCCCTGATCTCAAGCTGTACTATAGAGCAACAGTTATAAAAACTGCATGGTACTGGCATAGAAACAGAATGGTGGATCAATGGAACCAAACAGAAGACCCAGAAAGAAACCCACACACTTATGGACACCTAATTTTTGACAAAGATGCCAAAACCATGGAAAAAAGATAGCATCTTCAACAAATGGTGCTGGTCTAACTGGATGTCTACATGTAGAAAAATGAAAATAGATCCATACTTATCACCCTGCACAAAACTGAAGTCCAAGTGGATCAAAGACCTCAACATAAAACCAGACACATTAAATCGGCTAGAAAAAAAAGTGGGGAATACCCTAGAACTCATTGGTACAGGAGAGAACTTCCTGAACAGAACACCAGCAGCACAGGCTCTAAGAGCAACAATCAATAAATGGGACCTCATGAAACTGAAAAGCTTCTGTAAAGCAAAGGACACCGTCATCAAAACAAAGCGACTGCCTACAGATTGGGAAAGAATCTTCACCAACCCTTTATCTGACAGAGGACTCATATCCAGTATATATAAAGAACTAAAGAAGCTGAAGAGCAGCAAACCAAGTAATCCACTTAAAAAATGGGGAACAGAGCTAAACAGAGAATTCTCTGTAGAGGAATATCGAATGGCAGAGAAGCATTTAAAGAAATGCTCAACCTCATTAGCCATTAGGGAAATGCAAATCAAAACAACCCTGAGATTTCACCTTACACCCATCAGAATGGCCAAGATGAAAAACTCAAGTGACAACACATGCTGGAGAGGTTGTGGAGAAAGGGGAACACTTCTCCACTGCTGGTGGGAATGTAAACTTGTACAACCATTCTGGAAATCAATCTGGCACTTTCTCAGACAACCAGGAATAATGCTTCCTCAAGATCCAGCCATACCACTCCTAGGCATATATCCAAAAGAGGCTCAAGTACGCAAAAAGGACATTTGCTCAACCATGTTTGTAGCAGCTTTATTTGTAATAGCCAGGAGCTGGAAACAGCTCAGATGTCCCTCAACTGAAGAACGGATGCAGAAATTGTGGCACATCTATACAATGAAGTATTACTCAGCAATGAAAAATAAGGAAATCATGAAATTTGCAGGTAAATGGTGGGAACTGGAAAGGATCATCCTGAGTGAGTTGTCCCAGAAGCAAAAAGACACACACAGTATATACTCACTCATATATACAACATAGGATAAACCCACTAAAATAGGTACATCTAAACAAACTAAGCAAAAGAGAGGACCCTAACTAAAACGCTCAATCCCCATTTAGAAAGGCAAAGAGGATGGACATCAGAAGAAGGAGAAAACAGGAAACAACCTAGGAACCTGCCACAGAGGGCCTCTGAAAGCCTCTGCCCTGCAGACTATCAAAGCAGATGCTGAGCCTGATGGCCAACTGTCGGGCAGAGTGAATGGAATTTTATGTAAGAAGTGGGAAATAGCAAGAGCTGGAGAGGACAGGAACTCCACAAAGAGAGCAGCAGAACAAGAAAATTTGAACACAGGGAACTTCCCAGAGACTCATACTCCAACCAAGGACTATTCATAGAGATAACCTAGAACCCCTGCACAGATATAGCCCATGGCAGTTCAGTGTCCAAGTGGGTTACATAGTAATGGGAAGAGGGACTGCCTCTGACATAATCTGATTGGCCTGCTCTTTGATCACCTCCCCCTGAGGGGGGAGCAGCCTTACCAGGCCACAGAAGAAGACAATGCAGCCACTTCTGATGAGAGCTGATAGTCTAAGATCAGAAAGAAGGAGAGGAAGACCTCCCCTATCAGTGGACTTGGGGAGGGGCATGCATGTAGAAAGGGGAGGAAGGGTGGGATCGGGAGGGGAGGAGGGAGGGGCTTATGGGGGGATACAAAATGAATAAAGTGTAATTAATAATAATAATAATAATAATAATAAATTTTTTTAAAAAGCAACCTTAAAAAAAACTTGTCTTCTACCTCACACTCACATTCTGTTGGACATATTGCATGGAAGATGGGAAGAGTCTGATCTTACAGTTGCTCAAATAGAAATTGAGCACCATTCACAACCTCTTCTTGTGTCTGTTAGCACTGTTGTGATACCCTTAATGCCATTTTTTTGTGCTATTGTTTCTTATTTTACTCAAGTAAAGGTGGAAGAAACAGGTAAATCTTGACTGTAACCATGAGTGGTTTCTGTGGCATCACTTTTTGAAGAAGAGGAACATTCAGGGGAAATGGGAACCTCCTATCTCTGACCTCATCCCCATCCTCCAGAGGTACATTCCCAAATGTATTAGCCAGCGCTGTATAGCTCTAACAAAGCACCCAGGGCAATTGGGTACTCCTCCTTAGGAGTAAAGGTTTATTTTGGCTCACAGTTCTAGAGGTCCTGCTCCCCAAATTGGAGTACCCAAACTTTGAGCCTCTGCTGACAGCAGCATATTATGTACAGTACATCTTGAGCTCAAAAGCAAAACTGGAGAGGAAGAGACCTTGGTCCCACAATCCTAAGGCCCCACTGACCTAAGAACCTCTCCCTTTATGCTCTAATTCCCTAAGGTTCTCCCACCACCAGCAGTGCTACCCTGGGACCAAACTGTTAACACCTGGTCCTTTTGGGACACCATCATACCGTAGCACCTTCCCCCTCCCATCATCACTCACCCCTTGTCCTCCAGGACTGGCCCAAGCAGTGGACTAGATCATCACTAAACTGCATTGTGTCATGAGTTTAGAGTCTCTAAATCACATGTCTGCATTCACTACTGATGGCATGCAGTGTTTCCTCAAACTGGGAAGTTTGTGTAAGTATTTAGCAGTCACTTTGATGGGAGACAGGCATCACAAATACTAGAATCATGCATGTGGTGTGTTGTAGTGCTTGCCATGACTCTACACAAGGAAGACTTCTCCGGTCCCTTTTCCATCAGTGTTTGCTGACAGACTCAAATGCAGCCTAGGTTAGAATTATCAGAGCAGATTCTGGTCCTCCTCGTTGCCTTCAAATGCCAGATGGGTGGGACTGCCCTGTGATGGTGACTATCTCAAGGGTCTTTTGTGACACTTGACTACCAAGCCATGTGATTTAATGGGTCTGACCCTGTACCAGTTCTGGAGGTGCAGCCTAAGCTTACCAGTCAACTGAGTCCATCCCTATGGCTAAATGATTAGTTCTTGAATGGGTACATGCTTATGACTCAATGATAATAAAACCTTGGTGACTGTTGTTGTTGTTTTTATTTTGTTAATATTTGTCAAAGAAAACCTCTACTTTCAGAGTATACTTAGTCTTGGAAGTTAGGAGCCTGAAGCTGAAACTGGCTGTCATATAGACCCTGAAAGCAATGGCAGCCCAGACTTAGAGAATAGTGAAGAGATGCTTACATCATTCGACTCTGGATAAACCTACATGCAGGTTTCAGAGATGCCCCAAGCATGCTCACTGTGTGATAAACAGGTTCCCTTTTATAACTGGAACTGAAATCCCGACCCGCCTTTCACATGCCAGTCTACATTGCTTGTTTTCCTCCACTTGACTTCAATCTTCTTACAGTCACTCTCACATCTTTCCAGTGTCTTCCCAGCACCATTAATTTGGGTTTGATTACCACCCCAAAAGGATTTGATGAATGAATAAAATTATATATATGAAATTTGTTTGTTGACTCTGTTGCCTTACACATATATGTATCTAAGTTCTCATGTATTTCTTCTTGGTGTCTTTCTCTGAGATCAGCATGCAGGCAATGGCTTGCTCACCCAGCTTGGCTTTTGCATTTGTCCTTATTCTGGCTTT